ATCTTCATACACAATGAATTAGCATACGCAATGTTAGGTGAATAGAGAGAATAAATCAATCTAATAAGTAGTATTCAATGACACTAGAATCTCCCCGGCAGCGCAAACACTCACAGGACTGGCTTTGCTGTGGCTGTCACTCATCGAGTCTGCATATCCGAGAGCCTGACATTAGAGCATCTTTCCTGTCATCCCATGAGTGGATACGGTGGTGACTTGTGCTGTTTCATTGCATGTATTGTAGTAGAAAAGGTGAACGACAGGTTCCCAGAGACCCCATGCTCAGTTAGGAATAGTAAAAATCTAGTCTGCAACATAAATTGTGCCAAACCAAGTGAGGTCTCATTGGGACAGAGATGTTAGAGTGTGACGTCACCAACGCTGCCGACTGCTATTATTATTATTACTACTACTACTACTACTACTGCTACTATTACTACTAATTTCGAGTGGTAATGAAGGGGGTTTGGACGTTGCACCTTTTCCACTGACGAATTGCAGTAAAGCGTTTTGAAGCGGCCGGTAGTTCTCACAACTATTTTAACGAATTTCCACAAAAGTTATAGCTTCGACCCTTTTAAATGATGACGGCGAAAAGCTATGAACATGCTGCTCCCATCCGTCAGAATCCGCTAGCTGACCAAAACTTACTTCCCCAAAGAATTTCAGAGACTATGGCAGTTTCTGTCAGTTTTCATTACATACCATCTCAAGGTAGGAAATTTTTAGATCAGCGTGTCAGATATGATACCGTTCCTGTTTTCCTCAAAATGAATGTAAACGGTTATATTTTGTGTGATCTAATAGAGGATTTTATTCAATTTCAACGAGGAAATTCATCGCGTATACAGCCAATGAAGCGTGAACTGAAAAGCTAGGAAGAACTGGACAGCTGTTTCGACCTGGTTGGGTCTCATCAGCAGTGCGAGTTCATCGACCCAACGGGGGATCGAACCCGAGACCAGAAAGGCAGAACGGAAGCATGCTACCCACGCGGCCACCGGGCAGCGGATCACACCCTTTTTTTCATTTTCCATCTACACAATATAGCACAAATAATAACAAAATATCCAATCGCAACTCATGATCTGGGATTGGATGTAGAATATCATAGTTTTCGCCCTTCTTGGAGGCCTGATCATCTGTGAATTGAGGACTATCGTTCGGAATCGCTCGAAGATGGATAACGCTAATAGGGGACAATTTTTTCCTCTCGGATTGCTGCTTTCCGTTAGTGGTAACGACGGAGTCATCACAGATGTGAGGATACACCAAATTCGGAAGACTGATTGTTTTCATCACTGTATGGATATTTGGCCTGGCAAAGGGTCAAATCGGTTGAACCTGTTAACTGTTAATCTGTTTGAACTAGCTTGGATGAGTTCCAAATCATGTGAGGTTGAAATAAAATCAGTCGACGTGACCGATTTATGTCCCTCTTATTGCCAGTAGTTCCCAGGTGACGTGGGTTTTCCCAAGAGTTAAGTTATTCCGAGAGTTTCGCTTTCACATGTATCTGTGATCATCAAAATCGCGTTGGACGTGATCCGAGCA